GACAGTAGTAACAGATCTAGGATTTAATTTAGGACAGGGGGGGCATTTTTTTAAATGATAACTACTCAGAAAGAAAAAGAGAAAAACTGTTCATTACCTATATAAAATGATCTTTGATAACGGTCCTTGCACAAACTAAAGTGTGTGCTTTAGACCACAGGATAGAAGTGAAAACATTAACAAGGCGAGATTAATAATACGAAATATAAATTATAAATAATAGCTCATTATAAAGAGGATGAAATGCTAAACAATTCCCTCGCTTACAGTATGCTGATCCGAGTTTTAGTTCCAGAGATATTTTAATCTATATCTTCAACAAAACTCCTTTCCATCTGGTTTTCGACACTATTTTCTCTCTTAATCTCTGTAACACGGTGTTGCGTTAAGATACAATTTTGAATCATAATTCATTGCAAAGGGGATGAATTGATGAACGTTTTCCTTGCTAATAATATGCAGGTCCTATTATTAGTTTTTGAGATATTTTAATCCATATGCAAAAAATCTTCAATCAGCCGACTTTACCCGAACGTTACAGATCAGAAATCTTACGGCTCAATCTAATTCACTCTTCATAAAAAAAGTGCAAAACGCGCCTGAATTAGTTTTCACTTAAAAAAGTTAAGTAAAGAAACAATAATGCTTTCTTTCAGAAATCAATTTATTTTATTGGTTTATTATTTTCAATAATCAACCTTTATGATTCACCAAGAAAAAAAAAATGGCCTTCCTCAAAATTTGAGGTTTTGCGCACTACAAGAAACGTAGAATACGAAAATCGAAAAAAAAAAATCTTCCGTCCGAATTCCGCGTCTTTTTGTTATGAGATTCGGTATCAATGTTAAAAGACATCTGGGAATGATCCTCGGAACTCAGCACTACTATCCGCCCTTTCCTATCAAGATGGCTGTCAATATCTGTTTTGCTATAGACTGTAGCGCCTACAGGGATGTAGTGATTTCAATGAAACTTGGACAAAGTTTTCTCCTAGAAGCCATTTAAATTTATTCATATAACATACTTCACCGAAGATAAGCTGGTAAAAAGTAAAGACAGGTGGTAAAATTGATTTTTCGAATAACTCAAAAAGAACACACTTCTTGTTGTTGTAATTAGTCATTTAAAAGTTTACGAAATTTAGTAAAAAAATAAAAAGGATCGTTGAAATGGTTCAATTTTGTCCAAAGACATGTTAAATATTTTCCACACGTTCTGCCACAAAGCTGATATCCTTTGTTTTGGTTCTTGATTTTTGGGAAGTCATACATCAAATAAAGCAATCGCTATTGTTGTCTATATTTCGTAGCAAATTACTATTGATGAAAAACAAAAAACTATTTACGCCAATATTAGGATTAATCTTTTGTTTATTTACCTCTATCTGACAAGGAAAGTGGTGTTACATTTGCAATGCAGCGTGTCTCAGTTCTTGAGAGCCAAATTCTGGTGGTGGGGAGGGGGAGTGATTATAGACAAATTTCCAACAAAAGAGTTCATTTGATGCATGGGCCGATTCCGAACGGAATAACAGTTAAGACCAATTTTGTGTAGTTACATTTTTTATTGAATAAGGAGGAATTTCTCACAAACTGTTTAAGATAATTTCAAGTAAACCATCGCAAAGTAGACAAAATGTGTTTGAGAAAACAGTGATTAAATTTACTAAGACCGATGATAAAAGGGACTTTCGGGAGGTCTAATGCTGTTCGTGTATGGGTATTATAATAGTAACAGTAAAGCACTAGCGGATCCAGAATTTAATTTTGGGGGGGGGGCTTCAGCCCGAAAGATTTTTTTTTTCATATACATATAACGATAATTAATTTGAAAAAAAAGAAAGAAAGTAACTACCTTTACGAAATGGTGTTTAAGTGGTTCTTGAAGTCCTATTAAATGTAATTAAACGAACAAGAATGCTTTAAGAGACAATTTTTAACATTTTTTTCTGTGAAACATGGTTATATTTTACCATTTTGGGGGGAGGCTTCAGCCTGAAAGCCCCCCCTCCCGTAAATCCCACTGTGAAGTAAAGCGGTCGTATTAGACCTCCCACGGGCGGATCTACGCGGAGAGGGCTTTGGGGCTGAAGATGTTGTTTTATGGAAATAAATATAAAAAATTATCTCTTACAGTATTATTGTTCGTGTAATTACATTTAAAAGAACTTTAAGAATAACTTAAACACCATTACATATAGGCAGTTAGTTTCTTTCTTTTTTTCCAAAGTAATTATCGTTATTTTTATGAAAAAAAAAGGTTTCGGGATGAAGCCCCCCTCCAAAATTAATTCCTGAATCCGTTGATGAGACCTCCTGAAAGTCCATTTTATCATTGACTTTAGTAAATTCAATCACATTTCCTCAAAAACATTTTGTTTAATTTACGATGCTGTACTTACAATTTAATTACTTTAGACAGTTTTTGATCAATTCCTTCTTATTAAATAAAAAACGTGACCACCTTAACATTAGCGGATCCAGGATTCGATTTTTGGGGCGAGGGCTTCAGCCCGAAATTTTTTAAAATATTTTTTAATATAACGATAATTATTTTTTTTTTAAAAAAAAAGGAAGATGGATATTTTTAAAATATTTTTTCATTAAAACATGGTCACATTTTACCATTTTGGAAGGGGACTTCAGCCCAAAAGCCCCCCTCCCTGTAGATCTGCCTGTGCACCTTAAGAAAAAAAAAACACAAAATTGGTCTTAACTTTTTTTTCGTTCGGAATCGGCCCATGTATCAAATGAACTATTTTGTTGGAACTTTGTCTAAAATCACCCCTCCCCCCCCACCAGAACTGGCCATCAAGAACTGAGATACTCTGTATAATTTTTAGAAAATAACAAACCATACTGTAATAATTTGCAGCGTTTTTTCTTAGCACCTCACATTTCTACATTTAGAAGCTGAGGTACATACGTTATTATTTTGAAAAAAGACAGAGAACACACTGTTATAGTTCAAGTATATGACACAGACTACTCATAGAAACAAAAATGGATCAATGACAAAAAAGAAAATATTTAACTTAATTTTTTTTTTAGCTTTCATTTTATTTTTCAACTATTATAATATAAGTACATATAATATATATATATATATATATATATATATATATATATATATATATATATATATATATGCCAATTTAACTTCTTATAGCAAGTTGTGCTTTATTGATAGCTAGTATTACTGAAGAATTTAAATTTAATAACTATAAACATATCCTAAAAGGTATCTAATGTAATTTGAACTACCGAAAGGAAATAACTTAAAACATAAAATAAAAAAAATGTTGAAATATTAATCTTGTTTTATGTTCCTTTGGGCCAAAAAGTAAAAAAAAAATATATCTTTAAAAAGTTTGTTCGTGTTCAGTGAATTCATGATGCTTTTATCCTGAAATGTTCCTGCATTTTAATATTTGTGACATCTATATACTATGTATTGCAAACACCATCACAATTCATGAATAAAATATCACTTTATATTAATTTCATAGTACAACTCCCTTTACTGGCACTCAGGCACGATGGATTTTGAAAAACTACGTAGAACAAAAATGAATTAAATATATGTATTTAAACTTGTAGGTTAGGACTTAACCTTATTATTAATAACAAAACCACAAATTTGATCACCATAGTCCTACTTTATTTTATTTTATTTTTTTACATCAACGCTTCAGCCCTTAGGCCATTATCAAAAGAAGAAATTTAATTTAATAATAAAACTAATTATTGACTGAATTGCCCTAGTCAACTTCATTTAATTAGTCAGATTAAATTTCAAATTTGACTAATTAAATGAAATTGAAGTTGAACGTTGAATTTCATGGAGGAGAAAGGAATAGAATACCGATTTCGATCCTTAAATTCTTACTACAACTTTATTTTTTCCATTGGTCTCTGAGTGGTCTATGCCAAATACAGGACCGTCTAGATAATCCAAAAACATAGATTGGCATGCAAACACGGTTTTGTATTATCAAAGTTTAATAATTGTGGATTGATGTTTGATTGTAGAGAATAATTGAAGAGTAGAATGGATAGGGTGATCAAAAACATTTATTTTTGTAATTTATTTTTTTTGACTGATCACTGATAAGTATATTCATAATAAATATAAATATACTTATTTATTTTTATAATTTGTTTTTTGACTGATCACTCCAACCATTCTTCTCTTCAACTATCAAAGTTTAAATTTAAAATTATGGAAAAATTGTAGTTTTGATTGATTGTTACCAATCAATTTTCTTCATTCATTATATTTAACAATATTTGATATCAGTTCCCAATGTGAAATGGTTAATTATGTCATTTAAAAAAAAATAAAGTTACTTTAGAGGAAGAAATTTTGAAAATTAGGCATTTAAATACAGTTAGGGAACTTCAATAAGAATGAAACCTACATAATATTAAAAATTATCAAAACAGTATATAAAAATTGCATTCCTAAAAGCATTATTATGTTATCCTAATATATCTAAACATCATCCTAATATATCTAATATTTAATTAGATTCCCTATGCTCCATCAGAAGTCAACAGTAAGAATAATAATAAATCCCATTTTCTCCATTCCATATAACACTATCGGTTAATATTTTTTTTTTCGTCATCCCCTTCCTCGCCTTTTATTTAGGCTATGCGGAGTTTTCCCAGGCCAGGGGATTAATACCAGAATTAAAAGCTCCTTCTGACACCCGGACACGAATTTGTAATGATTTTATCAAATTATTTTCCAGACCAAATTAGGTTTCCGGGGAATGCAATGCTGTCCTCATGGATTAGCACGCTCCGCCACCCCGTCCCCCACTATAGATTTAACTACTGTTTTATACTGTCTTATTTTTAACTAGATATCTAAGTTTGTCTTATTGCTTCACTTCTCTGTTCTTCATGGACTTTAAATCACTCCAATTGTACTTTATAAGTTCTTCTATGTATTTTATTATAGTAATAAAATAATATGCTTTTTATTATTTTCAGGTTTCTGTTCTGGAGCTTTGCAGCTTTCTCCAGATCTGAATGAAACTGAGCGCTATGTGAATGACTCCTATATGGTAACTTGCTTTGGTGGAAATGGCACTGGAGCGAAATGGTTTGGGCCTGAAAATGTACAGATTCCAGTAGGAGCTGGGAGGTAATTTTTTCTATTTTTTTTTAAATTGTATAGATAAATTTAAACAACAAACATGTCTAAACTCATTATTTTTAACAAAAACTATAGATTTTTTCCAATATTTATCTCTCCTATCCATGATCTTATTCAATTTCTTCGATATTCATTCTGATTGTGGACATCAGCATTTCAATCCTCTTAGTCATTATATTTTTTATGGGTTTGGAGTAAAAAGTTTATTTTTATTTTTAATCAGTTACGATATGACTAGAATTTTTATTTTATTTTATTTTTTGGAAATATAGTTCAACTACAATTAGGGCAAACTCATGTATTAATTGTAAATTGAAACTCACATTTTGTTTTTTCACTAAATCTCCATTACCACTTACAAACATATATATATAAATATATATATATGTATGTATTGAAAGATGATATTGTTATCTTATAATTTATGTATGTGTTTCAAAATATTTTGTAAGTAATAATGGAGATTGAGGGAAAAATAAAATAGTGGTACTGCATGAATTTGCCCTCAGGCCAAATGAATTTTGCTAACTAACTGTAGTCGAACTACAGAACTTTTCAATACATTTTTTTTTTTTCAAATTAATATAAATCAGTAAAAAAAACCTCACCAAGAGACAGAACTTAAATGTTAGGTTATTATTGGAAAAATTCCAACCACACAGCCTTATGTCTCCAAAATTCAAGCAAAGAAAAGAAAACCGTCAATGTTTTGTCAATTCAGGCATCATATGGAAAGAAGAGAAAAGCAAATTGAACATTACTCCATGACACCCAATCGCATATTTATAATCCTAGCATAGCCTACGATCACTCATATTATTTAAAAACATTACAAACTGATAAAACAAAGGAGTGTAATATGCTTGGTTGTAGTTACATGATAACATGTAGTATATTTATATACTGCAATTAGCAAAGATTATTATTTACTAGACATCAACAGGTAATTGAAAATATTTATGTTAATTTATAATTCTAATTGCTTGTTTATCTAGATGGCAATTTTTTTTTTTTTAGGATACATACTGAAGAAAGATTCAACTATGTATCATTAATTTTCGAGTATATACTTAGAAATGATTCAGGAAGTTATGTCTGTACCAAGGATAATGATAAAGTATCATTCAAACTTACAGTTGTCAGTAAGTAGAGATTTGATGTCAGTTGTACTTTAAGTTTCCCATGCATTTACAGAAAATAGTTAATAGTTCTTTATAATAAAAAGCAGTCCTCCATACATCTCCGAACTCCTTCAATTCAAATCCTTTGTTCAATCCCGCAATACCTGTTTCCAGTCTTCAGATTTATATGCAAGGGCCCACTGAACAGATCTTCAACAGGCTTTCAACAGATCTTTCATTATCTGATTCTCATCACTATGGAACTCTATTCCTTCCTTCACCAATCGTTCAAATACTCTCCTCAACTTTAAATCCTGCCTATTCAATCACTTCCTATCCATTCAGTCTGTATAAAATTGTAAATAAATGTTCCTGTATATTATATATATGTAAATTATTAGTTCATTTTTAATTAGTTTTATCTCACATTTCTTTTTTTGATTAATTTTTTCTTAATTGATTAAAATTAAAAAATTAGGAAATTAGAAGGTAACTTTTTATTATGTGTATATTGTTTATTTTGTGATCATGCATATCTGAGGCTCCGAAGCCCACATTTCTATCTATGTATATTATTCTAAAGAGACTTGTCTCAGAATAAAGAAAATAAAGTATATTGTTATTAATATATTATTACAGTTGATGTCCTTTTACCACCACTGATTAAGTCCATGAATAAAATCTACTCATATCATGCATGCACTGTTTATTTTTTAAGGTATGTGATGATTAAATTAAAATCACTCTTTTTTTTTCTTTCTACAGAGCCCATCAAATTTCTGCCAGGTTTAGAACACCAGCATATAGCTGTCGGCAGCAGCGACAAAGTTCTATGTGAAGCTGAAGGAATGCCTCAACCATCTTTTATGTGGCATGTCAATGGATCTATCGTGAAAGGTTTTTTATTTTATTTTAATAGCTGTTTTATGAATCTATTAATAATTAATTGTAACTCAACAAGTTAAATTCAGTGAAAGAAATCTTCTGACTACGTTTGCGACAATAAACTTTGTTATTTTTAGCAATTACACTAAGCTAAATAGTACAAAATTAATTCAAAGAAAGTTTTAAACCCCCGAAATCACTAATCTTATTAAAATATCTATAATAATTATAGATCCATCAATCTGCTTTTTGTGGTCTATAAACTGCACACCTCTATTTTAGAAAGGAGGCACCGGTGGATTGTGGAGGGGCAGTTAGAAGAGGAACAGGCTGGTTTCCGCTCTGGCCCACAGATTCAGTACCACTCCAGAATCAGGATCACATATTTTTTCTTAGGACCAATGCTGAAAAAGCCCGGGGCCGAGACAAAAACCTGTACTTGATATTTTTTGATCTTAAACAGCATTTGATTCAGTTGCAAGAAAAGAAATTTGGAATGCATTAGTTGCCAGGGATGTGCCTAGAGATTTGAGGGAGGCCCTGAAATCAACCTACCAAGAAGCCACTGGAGTGGTAAGCATAAACGGCACAGAATCAAAGCCTTTCCCGATTGCGAGAAGAGTAAGATAAGGAGATAGTTTAAGCCCCCTGCTGTTTATAAATTTTATGGAATGAGATCCATAAAATGTGCAAGCGCCTGGACTGCAACTGGAAACTGGAATATGAGAGTATAGAGTTTTTTAATTGTGGATGATATTGTCCTCATAGCTGATTCAAAGTTGAAACTACGAAAAGTATAAAACTATCAAAAGTGGTAGAATAGGATGATAGAATGAAAAATGAAATGAAATGAAATGAAAAAAATGTTTTATTATTCTGGGACTGTTGTCCCTTAAGAACAAAATATGAATACAGATAATATGTCTGTGTGGCTACAATTAAATTGTATATTTACAATGAAAGTTGACTTACGATAAAAATACAGAAAAGAGAAGGAAAAGAACAAGTAAATTGTACATATGTATGAGAAACTAAAATAACGTTAATAAATTGAGGTAGTCTCTGGTGGTGCTCAGATATTTCTCTTAGATATATTTCACAATCATTCGGATTGAGAAAGGAGTAGGTGCTTAAAGAGGAGAGGTTTAAACGAGGAAACTGATTGAGCGTGTCGAATATCAGCTGGGATGGAATTCCAGAGGGAGGCGGCTTGTATTACAAAGGATTTGTCAAACGCAGCAGTTTGGTGAGGAGGAGGATAAAGGTCGGAAGTACGAGATCTGGTGGGACGGGATTGGATGGAATGTTTGAATTGTAAGCTGTGAAAAATATAGGAGTGTCGATAGGTTCTAATGATTTGGTACAGAAAGGTGGCTAGGAAGTACTGACGGCGATAGGATGGGTAGAGCCACCTCAACTCAGTGTAATACTGGGTAATATGCGTATCCCTTGAGATTCCGAAAACAAATCGTAGTGTGCAATTCATTAGGCGTTTAAGTTTGGCCTCGGAATCTCCCGGGAGTCCACCGTACACCATACAGCCATAGTCGAAGTGGGGGAAAACAAGGGAGGAAACTAGGAGTTGACGGGACTTATATGGAAGGAGATATCGTAGACGATTGAACTGTTTTAGGGTGGAGATAGTGCGACAGGAAATTTGGGAGATGTGAGGATTCCAGGATAGGGATTGATCGAAAATAACACCTAGGTTTTTAACGGTGGTGTAGAATAAGATAGGTGAGTTGTTCAGGAAGAGATTGGGAGATCCCGGGGAGGATTTGAGGAGTGAAGAGGATCCGATCAAGATGGCTTTTGTCTTCTCGGCGTTCAGAGTGAGCCTATTGAGGTTTGACCAAGCACTTATTCTGTCAATATCTTCCTGCAGTTTTTGAGTGGCATCTGAGATATCTGTCGGATTAAAGGAGAGGTAAATTTGAATGTCGTCGGCATACAGGTGGTAATGACAGTGCAGAATAGAGGATGGGAGGTCATTTATATAGATGGAGAAAATGGTGGGGGATAAGGAAGAGCCTTGTGGGACGCCTCTGGTCAGAGGTAGAGATTCTGATGGTGGGTTATTAGGAATTACAACGTACTGGGAGCGACCGGTTAGGAAGGATTGGAACCAATTAAGTTGATTGGATTAAAATTCTAAAAAAAAAAAAGAATGGGGTAGCTGTTGAGGAAAGATATGTGAATTAATATCTCCAAGAGTAAAGTGCTGGTTATGGTGAAGGAAGAGCAGGAAGGCGTTCAATTGGTCTGAAACGGAGAGGTTCTTGAGGTGGTGAAGGAATATACTTACTTAGGGACTATAATTAGTGACTCTGGTAAGATAGATGCTAAGATTTTGAACAGAATATCCAAGGAAAATCAGGCATACTACCTGTTCACTTGTAATATTCTCGAATACTGCAAAGTATATAAGAAGACCAAGATGCACGTACAAAAGTCTGTATTTCTATCTATTCTCACATACGGTGGAGAAAACTGAACTATGTTGGACAGACATTACAGTCGCATAACAGCAGTGAAAATGAGGTTCCTAATAGATCGAAGTGGAAAACTAGGAGGGATCGAAACTATAAGAGAGCAGCTGGAAGTACCTGAGCCCAAAATAACTTTGGAGAACAGACAATTAAAGTGGTTTGGACATGCCTGCCGCATGAACAAGGATATAGACCCTATGAAGGCATAAGAGGCTCATCCTACTGGAAAGAGATCACGAGGGTGTCCCAGAGTTTCATATCAGGAGTTCATGCACAGGATTGGAGTCAAGAAGAGGCAAAGAGGCAAATCTCTCAACCAAATGAAGCAGTTAAGCAGAGTCCGGGAAGAGTGGCTGTGCTAGAAATGGAACTGTGAAGAAGATATTTTGCAATACGAAGATATACACTAAAAAATTCTTTCTTAAGCTGTTTACCAATAAATGCACTGTACTACTTTGGTAATTCCTAATGTATGAGTTCAATACCTACTTCTGAACTTCCTATTCATAGGATTTGAATTTTTTTTTTTTTAAATGCTTTATATTATTATATAATATTTTGTAATAATATTACATTCATTGTCTATGATTTCATTAAATAAAACCTAATAAACTCATGAACTTTTTCAGATCGTCGATATACTACATTACCTACTAGTCTTCATATCATGAATGTGACAAGAAACGACAGTGGAATATATCTTTGTCGAGCCTATCAAGTCACTGCGCGAACAAGCACAGTACTGGATCTACTAATCAATGTTTCAGTTCACTGTAAGTTAAAATAGTCCTTTTATAATTTTTTTAGATAGATTACAGGAATAAAGTAAAAAATTTGTACTTGTTTCACAAAGTTATTATAAATTCTTAGCCTAAGTAAAATGTTTACTTAAATTTTTGCTGACAGTGAATTAAACCTCCTTATATGCTCAGACAAGCCTACTTGGAAACATTGGCAAGACTGGTACGGGTACATGGGAGGCACAGCAAATCTCACCTGCGAAGTTGAAGCTGAACCACCCGCAGAATTCGCTTGGAAGCAAAACAACCAAAGCATCGAAGCAGCCAGAATCATCAATGAACCTAATCGATCTGTCTTACAGGTTAAATAATATAAAATATTTTTCATTAATGTTGTAATGAGATTATGCCATTTTCGAAAATATATAGTTCTCATCTAGATATGAACAAATTTTATTTTGAATATTTCGATAAAACTTGATACAAATGCTTCTTTTACTATGAAAACAAAAAATGGTTATAACTTAAATCCACATTTGTGTTTATCTCAAACAGTGAGAGTGTGGCTGGAAGGAGCAGCTATTTTATATATGTACATTTTTCTCTCTTTTATTTTTTAAAAGCATTCTATGCATCTTTTTTACAAGAATAAAAATTCTGATAGATTATATGAAAGGTTATTAACCTTTCTCTACAAAACAAAAAATCTAAATAAGAACTATACATCCTGAACACTGAAAACTATACATCCTCCAGAGAATGCAACATAAAAAAATAAATAATCTTAATCTGATCAATATTATAGATAAGGCAAATGATATTTGTATTGTACTTGGCCTCTTAAGTAGTTAAAAAATATGGTGCATGCAACACAACTTTCACTTACCTCTCTACTTTTGAATAGAAATTATATTCTGGCAATGTTGAGCAATTATAACATTTTTGAAATGCACTTTTAACGGAGCTACATCTTAAAGCTAACAGCTAATAAATCATTAAGACCACTAATAATAAAAACCCTATTAATTATTTCAATGGTAGACAATAAAAACCTCAGTAATCCATCAGTTTTTGTAAATCATATAACTCCAGTCTCTGAGCTATATATAAATGCCTAGAGAGATTAGAAAGTATATCTATATATTAAACCTATAAACGATTATGGATTGTATACCTATTATTTATTAAACTATTATTTTCCATTGTAAAGTTTACTCAAATGAAATGACGAGATTTTCATTGCCTGCCATTTATAGACCAAAAGTTGTCACACTAATTTTAAGCCGATAATGTTTGGATTTCACTAAGGAAAAATTCACCAAATTATTCACTAATTTAATTTTCTAAAAGGTCACATAACGATTTTTCGATATAAACGGAAGTTGATACCTAATTATTAAAATACACTTATATATGATATAGAATTATTAAACTACAGCAAATGTATTTAAGGTTATAAACATAGGCTTAATACATTCATGAAATATTTTTATATTTCACTTCTTCTTTCACACAATTACTATGAAATAGTTTTTTAAACAATGGCATTGCCTTGATTAGGTGGATTTTAAATACTTTGTCAAACTTAAAAAAAGTTTACATTTAGTTAGTAAATTTCATTTAATTTCCTTGAAAACATGTGATTATTGTTTTCTTTAAATAATAATAGTTTTCACAAATTATTATTTATAATGTTTCATCACTCTCCATTAATTTCTATATTAGATAATGTTTCTTTCTGAAATTATCTGCTTTCAAACGATATATTATACGTATACCTTCTGACTTGTATTTCCGGAAATTCATTTTCGACCTAAATAAACATTTTCTCTTTTTTCTCTATTTTCAATTATCAAATTCTTTCAAAAGTTATATTTAGCATTTTTTTGTAATTCTTAATAATGAGAGATAGTTAATTATTTAAAATGAACCAAATTAAAGGTACTTCAGAGGAAGACATGTTGAACATTTAAGCATTTAAACCCTGTAAAATGAAATCAATGGGGATAAGACCTCAATGATATTAAAGACCAATTAATTATACAAAGATAGACGGAGTTTAATCAAAATCGTTCGAGCCGTTTGAGAAAATTGCAAAAATGTGTTTAGTTGATATAAAGTGCAATTCCGGTTAGTCGATTTTAACAAAAAAACTGCTGTCACATCCAAGGCCTATCTATACCTATATTAAATACATAATATCAGTTTCGTACAACATTTCTTTTTTAAGCTAGACTGATTTTGGGGAATTGGTTATTTAGACTCAGGGGACCTCGAAACGTGTTTTTCCCTTGAAAACTCAGATTCGAAAAATTTCATCGCAATACTTTCCATTACCATGGGCGGATCTAGGGAAGGTGGCGGAGGGATTTCGGGCTAATGCCCCCTCTCCAAAATGGTAAAATATAACCATGTTTCATGAAAATAATGGCCTTTTAAAGTATTATCGTTCATCTAATTACAGTTAATAGGACTTCACCAATCACTTAAAGACCATTTCACATAGGTAGTTAGTTTCTTTCTTTCTTCCGAAGTCATTATCCGAATATATTAATGCGAAAAAAAACAATTTTGGGCTGAAGCCCACCAAAATTAAACTCTGGATCCCTTAGTGTCCATTACTATATGTTACATATATAGGTAAGAGAAAGTAAAAAGTCATATGTGTGGCCTTTACTTAATACCTTTTCAAGAGACAGACTACTTATTTATTGGCATAACTTAAAAAAAAAATGTTTATAACTAATAATAAAAATAGTTTATAACTCCTGATCAGATAAGAGATCATTCAATAAATAAATATTTATCACAAATTATTATTGTAATCCTTAATCTTACAGGTGAATGTTACTGATGAATCAGTATTTGGAACATATGAATGTAAAGCATGGAATAATCTTGGCAGTATTAAAAAATCAGGAGAACTGTTTGAAGGCGTTAAGCCAGAACCTCCATCAAGCATCAGCATTGATTCAACCACAAAGGGTGTTGTTAAGTTGGTAGTCAAATGGGATAATGATGATAAGGAGCGCCTGGGAACAAGAGTCGAATATCAGGAATCCAATCAACTTCCAGTTTCTTGGGAAAATGCTAGTTTCGTGGATTTTATAGATAGTAAGTAGCATAAAAACAAATGTAAGATTTAATGTATCACCACCATATTAAACTAACTCCTTAATGGTCAACTTTTAGCACCATACAGACAAACATTATCTCTAATTACTGAGTAGTTACTCAGATTTAATCAATATTAAGAATTTTAGTCACTACTTGATCATCAATCATTTCAGTAAAATATTTGATACTTGGTGCTCAGATTAGTTTTTGCTTTCAAGGATATTAAAAAAAAAAAAAAAGAATGGTTTACAATTATTAAATCTGATAATTTCCAAAATTTTATATTTCATATTGTTAGTGCAAAAAGTTGTAGCACAAATGTTGTAACTTTTAGCGCCATACAGACAAACATTATCTCTAATTACTGAGTAGTTACTCAGATTTAATCAATATTAAGAATTTTAGTCACTACTTGATCATCAATAATTTCAGTAAAATATTTGATACTTGGTGCTCAGATTAGTTTTTGCTTTCAAGGATAAAAAAAAAAAAAAAAAAGAATGGTTTACAATTATTAAATCTGATAATTTCCAAAATTTTATATTTCATATTGTTAGTGCAAAAAGTTGTATATAACAATTTTACATGTTTATTCTCTTTGCACTTAAGCTGAAATTTTGCTAAATAGCAGATATCTGAAAATATCATAAGGGAATAAAGTGTGAAATTATATTAATACACCACAATAATAGATTTGTACGCTCTTTTGTAAAAAAAACTCGATTTTTAAATACAACCTTTTGCACTAACAGTAGCAATATGTAATACTTCTAACCAATTGTTAGTCTTAATAATTAAAAAAAAATATTGGTTCTTACTTGATGGAATTAAGAGGTTTGATTATAAAATTAGGGGAATTTTGTCTTGAAAATAAACAAAATGTTTTCAAAAATCCCTTTTTGGAATGGAGGCTACAAATTAAAATAATTCACTTTTAATCGAATATTACTATTAAAAAAGGTATCATTTCGAAGTTTCAAGTAAGAATTTAATAAAAGTATGAAATATTATTATACTTCATATCATGCATTATTTTATTAATATAATTTTTGTGAGTTTGATATATATAAAATAATTTTAATTTAAAAGCATGCCATCAAGTTTAGGAGACAATAGTAAAGGATGGGATCAGAAATAAAACATGATGAATAATTTCTTGATGTTAGCTGATACTTTAATAAAAAAAGCTGCATTAATTTATGTTAATATAAAATGGACAGTCAGGGTTAAAATTGAAGTTGATAGAATGCATTACAGAATAGTTTATGACAACTTTCAATGTAAGAATAGATTTTCCTTGATATTTCCAAAAGAATTAAGTGAAAAATACCATGGATTTTGAACTGTGTCTTCCACACACAGAATCATTACAAGATATATAAAAATTAATTTCCATTTATATTTGATTCAACCTTATATTCATGTATGTTATTTTCTTAGCCCTAAAAAATATCAAAAACATGAGAAGATAATTTTTTTTTTTTATTATTATTTATTTATATGATATTTACAACTGTATACAAAAAATACATCTGGTAAATTCGCACATTGGTATAAAGACATGGAACACATGTTGAGAAACTACCCATTGGTAGCACTCTAATAATATGTCTATATTAGAAGATCACGTGGCCATCTTCTTTTCAGACGCCTCGGAGCACTAGCGGATCCAGGATTTAATTTTGAACCTTGAACATTTTAACCTGAAATCTTTTTTTTTTCATAAAACTGATGATAATTACTTTGGAAAAACAGAAAGAAACTAACTACCTATATGAAATGGTGTTTAAGTTATTCCTTAAGTACTTTTAAATGTAATTACACGAACAATAATACTTTAAGAGGTATTTTTTAATTTTTTTTTCCCATAAAACATGGTTATATTTTTCCATTTTGGGGGGGCTTCAGCCCGAAAGCCCCACCCCGTAGATCCGCCCGTGCCTCGGAGGGTTATCAGGAATCGAATAGGAAGCAAGGTTAGAGACAAGAGGGTTGGGATGGTTATGAAGTTTATTATGGAAGGACAGATATCTGGATTGGGCCAAATCTGATACATAAGGAACATTAAGGTCATTATGGATAATTTTATTTGTAACAAAGTAAGGAGCATTGAGGATTTTACGAAGGATTTTGGATTGTAAGGATTGTATGCGAGAGGAATTTGAAGGTTTGGTGGAGCCCCATAGCTCAACTCCGTAAGTCCAAATAGGCCTTATTATAGTCATGTAAATCAGTCTTTTATAATTGATTGGAAGGTTAGAGCGTTTGTCTAGTAAGTGTTGAAGTAGTCGGAAACGTCGAGCTGTTTCTTGTCGTTTCAGTCTGGTATGAGGATTCCAAGTTAGACGTTTGTCCAGATGGAGTCCTAGGTAACGGATTTGTTCAACAGGAATAAGTGAGGTGTTGTTAAAGGATACTGAAGGACGGGAAGTCATTGGTTTACGACGAAGGGTGAAGGTAATTTGATGGGATTTATTGGAATTTATTTAAATTTTCCAGTTCTGACACCATTCTTCAAGGTTTGTGATGTGAGATTGAAGGGTTTGGGATGCAATAGATTGGTCATTATTAACTGATAGGATACATGTGTCATCAGCATATGTGGTGATGACAGTGTTGGGATGTCAGCTGTATAAACTGTGTAAAGGATAGGACCTAGGATACTACCTTGAGGAACACCTGCAGACTGGGAAAAACGGGATGTATAGACATTGTTGTGATTTACTTTAAAGTATCTATCAGTAAGGTAGGAACGGATAATGAGGAAGTAGGTAGATGGTAGGAATTTTCGGAGTTTGTACAGCAGTCCCGGGTGCCAAACTCTATCAAACGCCTGTTCAACATCGAGAAAGGCTCCCGTACAGTACATACCGCGCTCCAATGCAGAGGATACTACGTCTACCACACAATGGCATTGCTGTATAGTGGAATGGGAGGAGCAGAATCCAAATTAGTGATCTGGGATTATGTGATTAGAATCTAGGATTGGGTACAGGCGTTTTAAGATTAGTTTTTCCAGGATTTTTCCCATGATGGGTAACAGAGAGATGGGACGGTAAGAGGATGGATATTCTGGTGGCTTTTTGGGTTTGTGGATCATTTTGACAATAGACATTTTCCAAGGATCAGGGGAGAAGATAATTAAAAAGTAAAAAATTACTTTGTGTTTTATTTCTTATCTCATCCCAACCATTATCTCCTAAATTTCATCAACAAAATCACAATAATGATATGAAATGAAAAATGGTAATTTTTTTTTTATTAATAATTCTTTTTTTTATAAACAGATGATGGACCATATGAGCTGAAATTTCTTCAAGCCAACAAAAATTACGCACTCCGAGTCGCCACTTTGGGAGATGCAGGATTAAGTGATTTTACCGAAGAAATAACATTGGCAACAAGTGCTGGAATCCTTCTGTCATGTAGTCAAATGATCACTTCTGTCTTTGTCGTACTTTCTATATTAAATTATCTTCTTCGTGTATAAAATTAAAATTTTACCAAAAAGCAGCATTGTTTATTTTTAAATTTTTTGGAATAAGTAAAAAAAATTTATGGTTTAATTAAACTTGGAAATTCAACTGAATTTGCTTCTCAGAGCATCTATCATTATTTATTATAGAGTATTAGAAAAATTGTGATAATTTTTGTTTTTTATGGATGTATTAATTATTTAAATGCATAGCAAGAAATATATGTCAAATCTAATATTCCTGTGGTTACAGTGAGGGCTCACTTGATTGCACTTAAATTGTATATTGTATCTTTTAAGTAAATTCAAGACTTTGCACTTTTAAATGTAAAATATATTTAAGATATATTAATGGAACAACGGTTAATATCTTATGTTTCATATTAAAGTATGTGTAGCAAGTTTTCTTAAATTTCATTTTCAAGTTTAAAAATAATTTTGTAATCATATGATGGAACTGTTTAAAAAATCTTTTAAGATTGTATCATATAAATTCTAACACTACGTAACTTAATTTTTAACTGAAATGAGTTAGTTATCAACTCGATTAGTTCACTTATGTCCGATCAAATGATGATCATGTACATGTTCAAATATATCGTCGGTTTATTAAAAAAAGTCACTAAGTGTATTGAAAATTACACACACTTTTTTATTCAACATATATATATATATATATATATAATGACTTGCAATAAACCGACAATATGTTCCTAATATGTTTTGAGATTTAACATGCTATAATTTAATTACATAAAATGAATTATTATTAATGAAATTAGGTAGTTTTTTTCTTTGAACTCAGGTAAATTTAAGAGAATTGAGTTAGGCAGCGTTAAAATTTAATGAATATAATTTTGTACATATACATAAATTTCACTAATTTACAATAAAGATTAGTTTTACTGTTTTAAAAAATATTTTTGCTCTACTTATATTGATAAATTGAATTATCAATATTTATATGGTTATATCTAATAGCAAAAGTAAACAGTATTTTGTAAAATAATTCAAAATTATTTTGGATTAATTTTTTTTTTTGTAAATATGTGGATATTTCGATAAATAATTGTAAAACTATAATTTATATTTTTAAAAAAGAAAAATGATAATGTGTAAAAATATTGTATTTGAATGGTCAGTTGAGTAAAGAAGTCATGTAGATTAATTTTTAAAATATTATTATGCTAAATTTATTTAATATATTACCTTATCTACTAAAGACATTTTCAAAATAAGGAATTAATTTAAATTGTACACATTTCTCTGTAATTTTATTACAAAATTCAAATAAAATTTTATTTCTTCTGATTGAAAATGAGTGTTAATTAGATTGATCATCTGTAAATATTTAAAAAATATTTTTAAGATGTATTAACTAAATATATCATCAGTACAAAGGCAAGACCATAAATAAGTAAACTTCGAAAAAACAATGTTTGAAGTTTCCTTTGGCTCTCAAAAATCAAAGAAATCATATTAATGATATTGCAGTCACACATTTGATCTATAATGTCCATTTTTCTTATTTATGGTTTTCCTTGAGAAACTTAACATAAAAATAATTTTAGACTTTAGGCAAAAGTGAAATGTTACACATTCATGGTTTTGCCTTTGGATGGACTAATGATATAAACAATTTTAAAAATATAATGTCACTAATGTAACTAATTTTGCAGAATAACATGTAATTGTGATACTTGTATTTAAGAGAATAGGCTTTGTATTGTGTATATAACAATAAATATAGTTTTAAAAAACAAAAAAATACATATTTTCTATTATTACTAAAGATTTCTACTAAAATCTTTATTGAACTATAAAGATAACATAAATGTTTAACTTACTCTTAGAAAAAATGTTAGTAGGAAGGTATGAAACACACTGATCTCAAGAGCACTATAGAAACAACGGTAGGCATTTTTAAATTTTCTTTTTGGAGCTTTGTTCATACATTTGTCAATAGATTGTTCTTCAATCTAGAAAAACAATGAACCTTTCAATTAACATGGAAGCTTATTATTTACATTTAAAGTCCAACCTGTCCATCATTGGGCTCCCTGTTCATTACCGGTGAGTTCACCCTGAGTTGTTTTTAGAAAATGTATTTCAAATACGAAATACTAAAAGTATTCCCATCTTACTACCTTGCTTTCATATTATGAGATATTGATTGGCCAGTATTTAATAAGCTGTAAGCAGTTCCTTATTGGTCCTTCTCCTTCATGTGATAATACTTGGCTCCTAATTCGCTCTGGTTATCAACAGGAGGATTTTCCTCTCAAATCATTTCTAGGGTGCTAATTTGTCTCACAGGCTTATGTCAGAACTAGCTAAAATATAGTATTTTATACCCTTAACTTAAAATTTCTGGATATCCTATTCTGAGATTTTTCAGAATTTCAATACCTTTAAAAAAAAAAGTTCTATTTGTACTTCTAGGACTCCATCTGGACAAACGTCTAACTTGGAATCCTCACACCAGATTGAAACGACAAGAAACAGCTCGACGTTTCCGACGACTTCAACACTTACTAGACAAACACTCTAACCTTCCAATCAATTATAAAAGACTCATTTACATGACTATAATAAGGCCTAGTTGGACTTACGGAGTTGAGCTATGGGGCTCCACCAAACCTTCAAATTCCTCTCGCATCTAATCCTTACAATCCAAAATCCTTCGTAAAATCCTCATTGCTCCTTACTTTGTTACAAATAAAATTATCCATAATGACCTTAATGTTCCTTATGTATCAGATTTGGCCCAATCCAGATATCTGTCCTTCCATAATAAACTTCATAATCATCCCAACCCTCTTGTCTCTAATCTTGCTTCCTATTCCATTCCTGATAACCCTCCGAGGCGTCTGAAAAGAAGATGGCCATGTGATCTTCTAATATAGACATATTATTAGAGTGCTACCAATGGGTAGTTTCTCAACATGTGTTCCATGTCATTATATCCATGTGCGAATTTACCAGATGTATTTTTTGTATACAGTTGTAAATATCATATAAATAAATAAATAATAATAAATAAATAATCTATTTGTACTTGATATACTCTGGTATATTTCTGACCATTGCTCATTAATTGAGGCTATTGAGAAGCTAAAGTATTTCAGTTTGTTTATACTCAATATATTTGTATATAAATGTTTGTAGAATGTAATTTACTCTTACCTTGACTGATGACCAGGATAAGAGTTAGATAAAATGGTGTACATGGTAGGGGTAGGTTGAGGAAAAAATAATCAAGAGTGTTAAAGGAATCAACCTTCAAAAAACCATTTAAGAAGTTGTAAAATTACTCAAGTTTATATAAATATATATAAGGCAGAAAGACTAATACAACGTCATTTATTTAAAAAAATTAAACATTATAAAGTCTCCATAAAAATAAAATGTATTGAGATAAAAATATATAAAATATATCTGCAATAATATTTACACATCAAATATTAAAAGTTTAATCACTTTGAATATTATGTTTACTAATCAACTAATAGCCAAATAAATTATTTTAAAATACATTTTGTACTAAAAATTTGTCAGCAAGAATTTTTAAAAACTTAATGACCCTGCAGATAAGGATTCAAAAAGGTTTAAAGAATTTATATGCAGAGAAAATTATTTCAAAATACAAATAACAATATTGCTTTGCTGATTGTGAGAAAAGATAAAACATTATATTTTATCTTAGAAATGTTAAGATTTTTTCTGTTGTTTTCTTTTCACTGGCTGCTTTTTCGGTTTTCTTTTCTGCCTATTGTTGTCTTTTTTTTCTACATGGTAATTCACGCACTAAAAGAAAAAAATAATTAATTTATACAAAGATATGTTGTTATAAATATTTAAAGTGGTTCTGATGCAAAGCTGAAATAATTTTTTTTGGTTTTTAGAAAATCTTAAATCGCTTGAAGCAATCGAGATTGTTGTCTATATTTCTTCAACAATTAATAAAAAAATGAAATGAAGATATTTTTATTATTCTGGGACTGTTATCCCTTTTAGAATAAATTATAAATACAGAATGAATGCCAGTTTGGCAATACATAAATTAAATATTTACAATAATAGCTAATTAAAAATTTAGCCGAATAACCGAAAACATCAATGATGAAAAAAAAAAAAAGATAAATATTTAGGCCTATATTAGTATTTATTTTCTTCTATGTAACAAGGAAAGTAGTGTTACATATGATAAATAATAAATCATTGAGCAATAATTTGAAGTGTTTTTCTTGAAGTAAGCTAACATTCATAACTGTTGAATATATATTATAATTTATAAAAACTATTATACATTGTGATTGTTTAAGTGTTTTGCTCTGATCACTTACAGAAATAGATATGGACCAAGGAATAAACAAATTATTTTTTTCAGTGACGAAGATATAATATATTAATATGATGGGTCGCTAATTTCAGACAATTATTGAATCATTCAAGTAATATTATAATGAGGAAAAGGAAAACTTGGACTCCAGAGATTGATATAGGAAAAAAATAAATCTAGACAATTATCAGATTCAAAAGAAGCTATTACAATAGAACAAATAAATTTGAAAAGGTAACACAACTTGTCCATCCCAGCTCTCTGGTAATGCAAGACAGTACTCCTGACTTTGACCATAAGTGCTATGATAAGAGGCCGGGATGACCGAGCACATTGGGGTTCCAAAGTGCCCGGTTCCGAACGTTGTGAGTTCGATTCCCACCTGGGTCGGTTAATTTTCATTTCTCGGCACCATCCTCAAGTTGCTGTCAGGGATTGGCAAAAAGCACCATGTGGCCTACTTGACAGAGTTAGTTCCCCCACCAGTACCAATACTAGTGCTATCATGTTGGAAAAGAGTCCTAGAGTGTCAAGTTCAGAGCAGAACGTGTTTGATCTTCAGCTACGTTATTATTATTTACTTTGTGATAATGTAAACTGACAATTATTCATATTCTCACTTTGTTTGGGAGGATATGAAAATTTATTAAATAATGGATGTGTAGATATTGTATGACTCTATATGAACTCGAAGCTAGAGTTAAACAATTTATGAGCAGCTGTTTATCACAGCTGTTTATAGCTGATTAGTTATTGAATCACAGTTTATCTTAAAAAAATTCTTTAAGACTTTAAAATGTAAAGCCTTTGATGTCCGCATTAACTTATTTAAAACACAATTAGGCAGAGTTATTGCTCGTGAAATGAAATATTTGTTACTTAGCCAGTCACCTTTGATTGCTTTCCGCCACGGTTTATAACCTGAACAGTGATAATTCATGGAAATTGAAATATACCAAAACAAATGTAATAATAACAAAACACTTTTATTTTACAACATTTTATTTATTTTGAAAAAAAAAAAAATAGCTTAATATTATTTAAAATAGCGAGGAACGGGTCCTTTTCTCTATGGACCCGCCGCCACAAATATTCACATAAATATGAATCCAGGTGTTGCCTCGCAGTTCCTTGATGATTTTTATTTATCCACTTAGCTGATCGTTCTATGTGTTAAGTATGGACCCTACTTGAAGGATCGACAAAGTTATATCGGCGATTCACCTGAAAATAGTTGCAATTTGCTTCATTTAGTTGTTGGATGCTGTGTCCTTTCCAACAGTAAGAATATTTAGTGGTTCTCTCTCTTCTATATTATTTTTAATACATTCTAACAGAGTTGTTGCTTTTCTGTATTTTATCTTTACAATGAAACACATGTCTGTTGACAAACTCCGCAAAACATCCATTATTCGGGGGAGCACTCTCGTTACATGATGAAAAAAGACTTTCATCTATTTTAAAAACTTTTTCAGACCCTCCAGTTTTTTTTTAGTTTTTAGTTGTTGCTTTTCTGCCAAAGTGTTATTATATCCATTTTAAATAGAAAATACCAATATAAACCAAAAACTTAAAACAATTGAATAACAAAAATACACAAGTAACTAACTAGAGACAAGTGATAAGTGATAATTGAGTAAGAAGGTAAGAGATAAGAAGGTGGGTTCCATGGCAACCGGATAAGTCACAAGTATTGAAATATCTTTGAAGGATAGCCGACTGAACCAGGAGAGACTGGATCACAAATGAAAAGATAAGAGAGGAACTGTCTCACTAAAGGATTCCATAGAAAAGAAGCAACTGAGATGGTTTTGGACATTTATGTGTGAGTTGAAATTGGTTTCATTGTATGAAGTGTGAATTATTATTTTTTTTTTTAAGTTAATCATTTAACGGAATGTAAGTCTTTAAATTAAACAATCTTATTTTATACTTTGTTTACTCTGTTTATTGTTCTTAATATTCCTATGTACTTTCTATTCAAACTGTTTATAATTTTTTATTTATTTACACTGTTTATAATTTTATCTAAATATCGTGTAACTTTCTCATTTTTATATCCTTTTGTATCTTGTTAGTTTTAGTCCTGAAGAAGACTTGCAAAGTTAGGAACAAACTTTGACTGGCTTGAAATAAAAATAGTTTTTTTCACTATTTCAGTCTTTTTATGACCGCCCCCCCATACCATTTCCTTACTCAATAATATACAATGGCCAACCATCAAGTATTCAAAATTGTATTTCATGACTCATATTAATGATATTGTTTATTCGCTTATATACCATAGTTTTTAAATTTATAATCTATAATATATATGATATGGTAGTATACATCCCTTATTCAGCTCTCAGGAGTGATGTATTTTGATGAATGAGGTATCAAACGAAAAAGAATTTCACGATATTTTTCTTCACCTCATAGGGAGGTGAGCAACCCCTGAGTCTTAATAAACTATAGCTCCTGGTCCCTCAGGTTGGGGATTGGGTATAGGGCTGATAATCCCCTATCGCATAAAAAACTGGGTGGAAGATTGAAGCAAAAGATTGCCAACCAACCTGTAGAAAAGCTGCTGAAGAGAAAGTGAAAGGTGATCGCGTCCAGTTAGCAAACCACGTGCTCTCTGGATATTTCGAAGAGAGAACAAAATGATCGCCTAAGCAGCCCCGAGCTGCTGAAGAAGACTCATGACTTAAAAAGTCAACAGGCGTTGTAAAAAATAAAATGATTTTAAAATTGTAACAATAAAAATCTAATTATGATTAGGTTTCTTCAATAAAGAAAAATAATTCTTAAAATTCAATGCCTGATTCAAATATCAGATAACCTAGCCAAAGCCTGTATAAAAGTGGGTTCCCATCTCTTCATTGGTTTGCATGTTATGAAAAATAATAAAGAGAATAAATAAGGAAGTAATAAAACTTACCAGATCGTCCAAAACATCCAGCAGCTCATGGATAGAGCATTTGATACCATGTTCTTTAACAGTTTTATAGAATTTCTTAAATAATAAAGGTCTGAACAGCACCACATTAGAGAACAATTCATTATTACTTTTTATAAAATCGGCTATAGTTTTTTTCAGATCATCTATAAAAAAAGTTTTTAAAAAACTACTTAATCAAGATCATTAAATTGGCCATTTCATTAATCCAAAATAAATATAAATATATAGTATGTGATACAGACTCCTTTTTAAAAAAATCAAATTATTAACATCCATCTAAAACTTCATGAATGGCTTCTTCATATTGTAACCAACAAATTTTATATCAACGAAAATTCTCAGAAATGGGATGTTTTCTAATTAATTTAATTTGGTATTAAAAACTCACAAATAACCATTTGCTTTCCACTTGAATCATAAGGTAGTTCGATCAGAAAGGTGGCCTACAAAAATATTGGGCCGTTTGGACTATGTAACCTTGTTATTTGGACATGTTGGGGTGGAGAAAACGCCAAATGGCCCTATTTTTGTAGGTCACTTCTATTCTCGATTTAGTGATCAAATTATCTTGCGATTCAAGAAGAAAGCAAATAGGTGTTCATGAGTTTTTAGTACCTAATTAAATGGACAAAGTTGGAGAATCTCCTTGAAAACTCCCCAATCCCAAGAATTTTCATAAATAAAAAAGTTGTAAGTTATAATGAGATGAAGCTATTTACGAAGTTTTAGGCGGATGTTAATAATTTTATAAAAAGGGGCCTGTCCCACAGACTAATAGAATATGATGTTAGAGAGAACAAACACAAATGAAGTGCGGCCAAATGACCTAAGGGTCTAACTTTTTTTTTTTTTTTTTGGAGGCGAAATTAAAATGAACAATATAATTTTTACAAAAACAGACATTTTTTTTTTTTTTATTACATGTTAAGAAGCTATCTTTTGTTACTTGTTTCTCGAGTTCTATCTTTAGCATGATATTGGCATTGGCATATTGATTATTTTGATATAAGAACATATTTTCTTCTTCAAATTTTTGGTGCTTAGATCATCCGGCAATACTTCATACATTCTACTATGTTATTCGATCGTAATAATTTCAACACATATTAACAGTGATCATCAGAGCTACAATGAAAGATGAGTGTTTATAAATATGAATAAGAAAAGATATTTAAATTTAAAATATAGATCAGGTTTCAATACTACCAAATCAAAATTATATACGTATGGTAATATTTTTTCAATGGTTTTCTTATTACGTATTAACTCTAGTAAATGACTTTATAAGAATAGAAAAAAATGAAGCAATAACAAAAATATAAATAAATAAATTGGATAATTTCTTAATAATAACTCAGTTTAATTGATAAATTTTGAAAAAATAATTTTATTTTTGGACTTAATTACGCCAAGAACAATAACAGAGTTAAAAAAAAAAATATGGCCATAAGCCTGGCTTGACGAAATACAAAAAGGTAATTGTCATTTAACTGTTAGTTGCAATTATAAAGTTAATTGAGTTATACAATATACAAAGTATCACAAGTAAATTTTATATGGTTTACATATATACAAAAAATATAATAACAAAATCAAATGGCACTTATTGAATATATTGTTAATGAGCAATTGTAAACTACAAAATCTAATAAATTTTACATAGATGCGGAAGTTTGAATGTGAAGTAGATGGTGGAATAGAAGTTGTTTGAAGGAATTTGTGGATAAAGATTGACATAGGAGATAGGTAACAAGTTAAAAAAGGATGAAGCACAAATGATGATGTCATATTAGGATTTGCTGAATAAAGTACCTTTATGGGAGGGGAAATATAATTCAATAAGTTGAGATCTGGTATTAGGAGATTGGATAGAGTAAGGAGTTCTAGGATGTAGGAAGGATTATTGGTTCTTAGGACTTGGAAAAGGAGAACACCAAGAAGGAATTGTCTTCGGGAAGTAGCCACTATAGAGCAGCTTCAACTCGATGTATCAGCAGGAAACATGAGTACTCCTGGGAATTCCGAAGATGGATCTTATGAAACAGTTCATGAGTCTCTTCATCTCCAGTCTTGCAGACAGCCCTCCATACTCCGTATACTTTAATCTCACAAAACATCCTTATTAAATGCTAAGCATCCTTCACAATTGGAGAAGTTTCAATGTATACATTTCAGAAATTATAATATTAATAATATATATTAAATTACAAAGGCTAGTTCAAAATTAATTTAAAAAGTAATTATAAACAAATCTTACTTTCACTATCACATGCATCAACTTCTTTTGTAGACAAAACATCACTCACTTTACTCTGATTAAACAATTTTTCTTCGTACGCAAAATCATTTTCTATCTTTTTCCTGCGGGAGAAAAGATAATTTATGTATCTACTTATCTCAAGTTTAATTTCAACAAAAGTTTTATTCTGACAACATACAGAGATATAAATATTTATAATCTCCCCTCAATAGTATTTCTTTTTTATAAATATATATAAATAAGTACTACTTTTAATTAAGTCAACCAAAAGCAATGGATTTACCTTCTCGGATAATTAAAAAAAATTAATGTAACACATAATGAAATGAAGCAACATAAAGATGCTATCATCGTTGAGATTGGAAAAAGTAAAAATTTCTAGAAAAGTACAATTAATTTTTTTTTTAATTACACTAAAAGAGGTTAAGAATTTGAATCACTATGGTTACCAGGATATCTCCAGCTGTTATATCCTACGCCTATATAATAATTTATTACTTAGAACAACTAGCGCTGTAGTTGACAATAATTTTAATTATTAACAAAATGTGGAATATTATCAATTACAATATTATAAGTTGTATAATGATAAAAAATATGGTGAAAATAAATTAGAAATAAGAAGGTAATGATAGATTTATCAATAAATTTTGATAAAATTTAAGGATTAGATTAATTTATATTACAAACGAACACTTCACAGCCTGGTCTCGGGATAAACAATGAATGAATTATTTCACCAAATGCTTATTTGTTAAAATTTAAATAATATATGGGCAGATAACATAATATCAGAATTAAAATAAAGAGTAACAGAAAAAGTACATAAATCAACTGCACCCATTTTACAAATAGCTTGAAGTACAAATATTAAATAAATAAAAACTAACAATCAGTCTCAAGAAATAAATAAGTTAAGACTTCTGAACAAAGTCAAAATCAATCATACTTGAATAAAGAAAAACACAAGTAAAATAAACATGATCAATAAAAATCATCAAGACAGTTTCAATAATAAAGAACAAAAGAAGTACTGCATAGGTATTCCATATGCTCTTAAACCAAAATCTTAATCTAATATAGCCTAATAAAATCACTCTAACCTTATCTGTTACAAAATTCACAACATAAGAATAAACATTGATTTATTCATTTAACTTCTCAATTAATTATTATTTCAGTTAATAAAAAAAATTTAATGAATTATAATTTATGATTATGATCATAAGACAATCATATATAAGAAATACTAGTTGGCCCGTGCGAATAATTCACAGAAAATTTTGTTTAGTGAAGAAATAGAAAAACAATACGGAAATAAGTAAATCCTAATAAATAAAAGTAATAAAACCAAATAATGCCCCGATCATGGGATTTTCTAAATTATTAAAAAAATAAACAAGCACCTTTAAGAAATAATAAAGTTAATATACCAGCCAGAAAACGGCTACGCGGCTCCGATAACCGGACGGACCTTCATACAGACGGTAAGAACTCATATAAATGCCCTCGCGACCCGAGTGAGATTATCCAGAGGACGTAGGGCTTTTATGCCGACCCAATGCAGAGCTGGGTGTCCTGCAAGCGAAACTGCCAGCCATATTATTCAACATTGCATTTTGTCTCACGGTGGTAGAGTGCGCCGGCATGATACAATAGTGAACATGTTGGAAATTGCTCTCCAAAAAAAAGGATACAGGGTCACAAAGGAGCAAATGTTTGTTGGTAATAGACGAAGGTGGAAGCCAGACCTGGTGTGCTCAGGACTAAGCGGACACTTCATTATAGATGCACAGGTCGTCGGGGATAACCCTAGCACCACTCACTGGAACAATGTCAAAGCCAATAAATATAGGGACCTAGATTGCAGGATGGCGATCGGGCGTACACTGGGAGTGCCAGGCGTGGACATAAAAGTACTGCCGCTCACAATAACTTGGAGAGGAATATGGTGCCGAAGATCTTTCCAAGACATGGATATGTTGGGAATTCCCAAGAGAACGATGAACGCTATTACAATAAGAGTCCTTAAAGGGTCCCACATGAATTACAGTAATTGGTTCAGGCTGCTTCCTCGTTTATAGCATGATACTCAATGATTATATCGATGTCATAATTTACATTTTTACGTTTTGTTTTATTTATCTTTATTTTTTATTTTATTTATCTATTTATTTATTTCATTTTTATTCGTTTAATTTTATGTTTATTTATTTACTTTTTTTTTCTTATTATTTTTTTTTCTTATTTTATTTATTTATTTTATTTTAGTTATTTATTTTTATTTATTTTTTTTTATTTTTTTTTTTATTTTTTTATTTATTTAGATATGTACTATAGTACTACTTTTTTATGACTTATATTGCGGAGGGATTGCTACCTCCGTGGTTTTTAAAATTACTTTATATATAGTGTGTATTTTATGTATGTATATTTTTCTTTTATACTTTTATCGACGCAGCTGCTTTTTGTATGTAAATGCAATGCTCAGTATATTATAACTTAATATTAGTATGTTTTCTTTCTTTTTTTTATATATATATATATGATTCTTGGATTCCAATATCCAAGATAAAACGTTACGATGGTGAAGGTAGCACCAAATTAAATTGGAAATTGAGAAAGGTCTGGAGTTTTGTTACTTCGAAAAATATATTAACTATGTATGAACTACCAAATAAATAAATATTTTGCTTTGAAGGTAATTTAGTAACAAGAAAAAAAATCCATACTTTTTGAGTTGTTCGTGAATAAAGTTTATTTTTCTTCATAACTTTTTTTTCTGAAAAATCAGGAGGATAGGACTATTTTTCATATGTGATGAAGAATTGACGAATTATGGCATACTGACAAAAAACACCTTTCAGAAATAATATATAGGATATATGTTTTTATTTTATTTTTTTGTATTTCAATAATTTCAAAGTACTTCTCACTTTTACTGTATCTTCATAAATGGCTGAGACATGGGAATATGTAACATCTATCCATTTTGAAACAAAATAGCAATATCAAGTTTTGATGATCATACTGGATCACCTGTCATTTTGGTGCCAAATCTCAAAAAAATGGGCCCATTAGTCTTGGAGAAAAGCAGCGTATAAAGCGAGAAAAAAAGCTTTTTTTTTTCTTTTACAAAGATATTATTATTGAAAACAATAAACCAAAATAACAAAATGAACAATTCTTTTTAACATACCAATGTTTTGGACTAACTTTTTAGGCAATCTTCAGGGCTAGAGCAGGTAGAATAGATTTTGTAACATATGATTATATACAATGTAATTATAATTAATAAATCTGATTAGTTTTCAAGAACCTGCACTTTCTAAATTCTGTATTACAGACTGGTCCCTTATATTATAGTAAACCAAAGTAAACAAAGTAAAAGGTTAATAACTGATTTTTTTTTTTTTTTTTTTTTTTTAAGCAAAATGATTTTGATATTATTCAAAACATACGTTTTTTGAAAACTGAGTTCTATTTCAGTCACTATAGCAACTTCTAAATTATCTCCACTTGTTAACTTTCTTTCCTATTTTTCAATGGTTACTAGTAGCAACTATAATTTGACAACAGTTAGTTGGCAGCCTGAGAACAAATTCACAATTTATTTTTTCCTCAATTCAGATATTATAAAATATTTACAGATGTAAACATACATATAATACTATAATCTTCTAATGTGTGTAAATATATTGTAAGTAGTATCAAAGAGTTATGAAAAAAACAAAATTTAGTTTCAAATAATTAGAGTGCTACCAATGGGTAGTTTCTCAACAAGCATGTTTCATGTGATTATATTCTTCTGTACACATTTACTTGATGTATTCATACTAATGCAGTTGTAAATATCATAATAAAAGCTAAAAAAAAAAGTTTCAAATTGTTACCTTACAAGTTCATCCTCGGACTAATTGTGGTTGAACTGCAGGAAAATAACTTTGTAAGTAAACAAAATTAAATAGTTCATGTTTTTATTAATTATTTATCCTACCACTTCCTCTTCACAAATCAAATTTTACCTTTTTCAATTTGTTTTTTCTGTTTCTGATTTCTTAATCAATATTTTCTTGAATTAATAATTGATATCAGCTGTCATGTCTCATGAAATTTTGTTGACAAAATTTGATGATCAAAACATGAGTAGCGTAGCAAGGGCCAGGTTAGCTCAGCTGTGGGTCAACCGAGGTTCGGTTTCTGAAGCTGACTCCGCTACGCGCACCTTCCTCCCTACCTGCCTCACAACAGTGTGGCTTTGTTCCTCAATGTCATCCTTTTTTTTCTACTTTTTTTCACTGCAAAACCTCTCTAATTATTTTATTTTGGTTCAGTGTAAAATATGCAATGGATGTGGAAGAATTCTTAATCAAATGTGTAAGAGAAACTATTCTATTTTATACACAAATATTAGATTTTTCTTTTCAGCTCCGACATGATGAACTAGGCTATTTTTAAAAAATGTTATATACACTACATATACTTTTTAAAAATTTTAAATGGAATATAAAAAGGGTACCGATGCAAGGCAAGTTGCTGATTGAGCTGAGCTCCGCTACACAATCGGTTGACGACACCCTCTAGCCATAGCGCTTTAGGTGGCCAGTCAACCTTATACTGGAAGGAATTTCGTCACACTGTCAGAAGTTATGCTTTTTTTAAATCAAAGAATCTTTATCACAGTTCCATTTCATAAGAGTTAATATGTGTGCATAATTAATTATTTTTGTTAAAATATTTTTCATAAACCAAAATTTGTATAAGTACATTTACAATTTATTGGAATATAACAACATATGGGTCAATCTATATGAAATCACCCAATCTGAATTAATTTTGTTGCTCGACATTTTTGATTTTTATCATTTTTTTTTTTTTTACCAGTCATCCTCTATTTAATGGAGAGTTCAGAAATATGATTAAAATAGTTACCTAGCACTATAGCACTAGGACAAACGTCTAACTTGGAATCCTCATACCAGACTGAAACGGCTCGACGTTTGTGACTACTTCAATACTTACTAGATAAACGCTCTAACCTTCCAATTAATTATAAAAGACTCAATTATATGACTATAATAAGGTCTATTTGGACTTATGGAGTTGAGCTATGTGGCTCCACCAAACCTTCAAATTCCTCTCGCATTCAATCCTTACAATCCAAAATCCACAATGCTCCTTACTTTGTTACAAATAAAATTATCCATAATGATCTTAATGTTCCTTATGTATCAGATTTGGCCCAATCCAGATATCTGTCCTTCCATAATAAACTTCATAACCATCCCAACCCTCTTTCTAACCTTGCTTCCTATTCAATTCCTGATAACCCTCCGAGGCGTCTGAAAAGAAGATGGCCATGTGATCTCCTAATATAGACTTATTATTAGAGTGCTACCAATGGGTAGTTTCTCAACATGTGTTTCATGTTATTATATCCATGTGCGAATTTATCAGATGTATTTTTTGTATACAGTTGTAAATATCATATAAATAAATAAATAATAAAATCATAATGATTAAAATAATAATAATATAAAGGTTCAAAATATTTTCTTGGCAGGCGTTTTGAATTTACTTTTTGATTGAAAACATGAGGGAAAATGTATCTCATAATGTCTTCAATAAAACGTCATCTTGACACTTTTAATAACAAAGAATAAAAGAAACAGGTATATTATAAGTGTTCCTGGTTATAAATTAAATATTTCAAGAGTGCAAGAAAAAAAATAAAGCAAAGATTCAATAAAATAAAGTTGGTTTATTGCAAAAAAGTCATTAAGTGACATTTAATAACCCCAAATAATTAAGAACTTAAATGTATTTCTTCTTTGTGAAATAAAAACATTTTGTACTTAGTGTAACTCTATAAGATAAATAAAAGGGTCTGTGTCATTCATGCACTTACGGTGTTTTTGTAAAAACAAATAAGGCCAAAATTCACAAAAATTTTTTTAAAATTAACCTATATCAAAAATGCACTTTGTGACTTATTGCAATAAACCGGCGATATACACTCTACCTTTCATCAGATGAATCATCATCAATGGCAATTACTCGAGTCGAAGATTTTGTCTTTGAAGTGGATGCGTGAGGTTCCTTGGCATACTTCGGCAGTTCAGCTCTAATAGGATGTATCTGTTCGTAGATATATCGCAGAAGAGGTCGAGCTTTTATAGAATCTAAATTTGGTTTGATGCCGTATTTCTTTAGTTCATCCTAAGAAAAGCAAATAAGAATTATATCAAATAAGAATTAGTTTAAAATCATTAACTAAGAAATAAAAATAAAACTGAAATTGAAGAGTAATCAATTAATTGAGTCATTTATTTCCAGACTGGATCCTAATCATCATTGAAATTTTTTTATTGAATATGAAAAACTATATTTTATATTGCAATTTTAATATAAAAACCAATATTTAAAAAATAAAAATAAATTAAGGTATTCTTTATTTGTAGATCATATCTCTGAAAATCAGAAATTACTTCAACAGTAATTTAAAAAATCGAAACTTGAATAGGGACCACTTTTAGAAATAATTAAATCTCAAGGCTCATTTATGAAAAAAATGTTGATTATAACCTATTTTCTCATGCTTGTGAATGTACTTATTATATCAAAACATGTTTGTATTTCTAAAAATTGATCGAATGAATGTCAGCTTAAATTTTTTTTTTTTTTGTCTATTCCTTCAGTGAGGTCAAGTGTTCAGCCTTCGCAAGATCCTGGAAAAAGATTGGGAATATCAATTTACTACCCACCATCTATTTTTACATTTAAAGAATGCACATGGCAGTATTAAGAGACAACCTGTGATGGTTGAACTTGGTATATCTAGGAAACTTGTACGACTGTACCACGCTACCATGGACAGAGGGAAATGTATTGCAAGAATACAAAATGAATATTCCCAAGAATTCAAGTCAGAGGCGGGGGTAAGACATGGAGATACATTTGTCTGTCTTTTATTTAACATCGAACTGGAGAGAGCTATGAGATTCTGGAATACAAACTTCTGACACAATTCTGGATAGAACGATTCAAATTCTTGGATTTGCTGACAACCTCAACATAATCAGAAGGTCACAGACGACAGGAGAAAAAGCATTCCTTGCATTAGAATGTGAGGCGAAGAAAATTGGACTGATCATAAATGAATCGAAGACTAAGTCTATGGCCACAGAATAGCTCACACGACCATGGGGAAGTGGTTAAGTTTAGAGAGTATGCCTTTGAATAGGTGGACCATTTTAAATTTCCTGGATGCATTGTGAACTCTAATAATGATATTGGCACTGAAATCAAGAAGTGATGTTAGCAAATTGCTGCTTCTGTAGGTTGAAACATCAATTGAGAGGTAACATTTTATCTAGAAAAACTAAAATTTTGCTTTAAAAAACACTCATCAGACCACTTCACTGCCACGGCTCAGGAAATCAGACTTTGATCAAGTAAGATGAGCAAAGGTTATCAGTTTTTGAAAGGATGATTTTGTGCTCCATGTTTGGAGGAAAGTCTCAAGGGCACTTAAAGGAGAACAAATCACGAACTTTATGATTTGTACAAGGGCCCTGATGTTGCAATGTATATATGTGCAGGGCGGATACGATGGGTGGGTCACGTTCAAGAATGTTGATTTTATAGATCCCTAAAAAGATCCTATCAGGGAACATACATGGATTACCGAAACTACGATGGGAAGATGGAGTGGCCCATGATGCCAGGACAATGTGAGAGGAACTGGAAGGTGCTGACACACAACCGAGGTGACTGGTGGAGGTTGATTTTGGAGGGCAGACTTAGATTTAGACTTTTAAGTCTTCTTCAACAGCTTGGGGCTGCTATAGGCGACAGTAGTGATCATGTTGTTCTCTCTTCTTTAAGATATCCAGGGAGTACATGGTTTACTAACCGGACGCGATCACATTTCATTCCCTCTTCATCAGGAACTTTCCTGAAGGATGGTTTGCAATCATTTGCTTCAATCTTCTACCCAGTTTTTCATGGGATAAGGGATTATCATCCCTATACTCAACCCCCAACCTGGAGGACCAGGAGCTATGGTGTTAGACACAGGGATCGCTCACCTTCCTATGAATCTCAGGGTGAAGACGTTACCATCTCCATGCGGGAATCCAACCCATGTCATAGAGGTCTAAGCAGTCGAGTAGGGTCAGCACTTAATTATTTTAATTTATATTAATTTTTTTTGTGTGTGTTATTAATTCCGACGTGTGAGATTTGAACACTAGATATAAAATTTTTGCAGGCACCTTAACTCGCTCGACAACCATGGCTCCATTTGGTTTGTCATGGACTATAATAAATAACAATATTGTAATTTTATAACCTAAAAGACATGTAAGTATCCCACAGCACCTTGGAGGCTTATCAGAGGAATTAAGATTTATCTCGAAAAGTGGTACATTTTAGATCCTACAAATATAGGAGGGGTGCTCCAAATGGAGCCACTGTCAATCAACCTACCTAACAGCCCTATCTACAGTATAGGTAAATCTGGAAAAATAAAAATGTATAATAAAGTAATATTACCTTTAACTCAGGAGAAATCATGGCGTCATAATCAGGTTTAGGAGTGGCCTCACCGAAGATAATCTCTTGCAAAGGAGTCAATGGCTTCTTCAAAGAGAGATTTTCGTTCAGCGGTGGGGTAGATAACGCCATTTTGTTCAGCGGTGGGGTAGATAAAGCCTTTTTGTTCACTGGTGGTGTAGATAAAGTCATTTGTTGGGAAAAGTTTTCAATAACTTTAGTATCATTAATTTCAGGAAAGCTTGCTTCAAAATATTTGTCGATAGATCTATCTTTATTCGGAGGAAATGCTTTAATAAAGTGCGGTGATGATTTTGTAGGAGTAGATGCCATCTTGGAATAATGGGCCATTGTTAAAGGATGTGTTTCCTTTGGTTCAACATGAGCTTCTTGCATGGATCTGTCGAAATAACCTGACATATTAAAATCTAAACTATCTCTAGGGCTTAAGAATAAGTCTTCATTCATAGACTGTTTATTATCAACTTCGAGACCATTATTTTGGGAAACTGTAGTATTTTGGGAACTATTTGTAGGTACACTTAGGCATCCTTCATTTGAATCTGAATCAATCATTACTATATCTGGACTATCTTCCAGTTTAATCGGGATGTTTTCAGAACAGACCTTTTTAGTTTCTTTTAAAACATCGGTATAGTCTAATTTCCGCTTTGATTGAAAGCTCTGAGAAAGTAAAGAACTGTTACAGGGCGATTTTATTTCATCTTTGAATATATCATATAAACTCTGATCTACAACTGAAGTAACTGGTTGATTGGAATTGAAACCTGAAGTAGAGGCAAAATTATTTATTGTTTCTGTTAAATTTGTGAAAGATAATACCTTGCCTTGTTGTTCCTTTGAAGTAGAAAATTTCTCTTTATCTTTTTCAAACGATTCGTGAGCCAGTGAAGAAAACTTTGAATGCTTATTTGAGATATTCTCTTTAGGGCCGAGACTTGAGTCAGGAGCTTCCCTTGTTGGACTGTCAGGAGGGCTACACGTAGACTGGCTATAAACGTGAAAAGAATCAACACTAAATGATTTCAATAAGAAGTTTTCCAAAAATTCCAATTTATACTTTTTAGCTAAAACATACAAATCGGATTTATCTTCATTGGATAAATCATAAATGAAATCAATTTTTCCCGAATAAAGAAATTTAAAAAAAGCTCTTGTTCCTTCAGAGGAATATTCGGTAAAATCTAAAGAGTTAGACGCTTCTGATATCAAAATATTTGATAAAAGATGTGGGCAACGTGCTTGTAACATAAATTGGTGACAAGGTAAAGATTCGCCCGTTTTTAATATAATACTGAAATCGCTAAGTTCATTAGAATTGAAAAATGAAAATAAGTCATCAGATAAAACATTTAGAGAATCAGTCAAGTATTTGTTTTTGACAGAGAAGTTATGTTTGTTAAAATCAAAATCAAAAATGCTGCTACATTTAGAGTTGTTTTCTTCTTTGATTTCATTAAATTTTGTTTCGAAACTGTCTTTTGGTTGGTTACTTTCCTCTTCAATCTTAATATTCATACCATCTGAAGATTCTTCAGCGTTACCATTTTCCTAAAAGTAAACAAAATTACTGCCATAAGTTCAAATCTTTTTAAATACTTTATACTTTACTTCATATTGGGCAATAGGTAAATTGATATTGTGTAAGATTATCCTATTTATTGGTACTATTAGTGATTTTTTTCAATTATTAATTTAGATACATCATAGTCTATGGTTTCATTTTATAATATTAATTCAAGGAACTTTCAAGGAAGAGGCTTTTGCTTTCAAAACCGGTTACATCCAGTTATAAATCATTACAAATTTTATAATTTTTTTTTTCATAAATATTTTAATACCAGAAATGATATATTACATATGTTTGTTTCAAAATCGTCTAGATCCAAGATCAGTAAAACTACCAGGTTCACTCACTCAGAGGGAAAATGGTGGGGAGAAATTGAGCTCTGACGTAGCCAAAAGACTGACTTTACCCCTCCAGCTTTTGTTTCTGGACATTTTAAGATTATTATTTACTTCTATACATTAAATCAATACTGTATTGCCAAATAACTTATTAATTTATTAATTTTAATAAATTTGAAAGGTGAGAGAAAGGTTAATTTGATACTTGGCTTATTCTGAAGCTAATAAAATGTAATTTAACAAGTTGATGTATAATTTTTTGCAAAGTACCACAATACTACTTTTTAAATATTTCAAATAAATACAGAGCATAATATAAAATAATAGAAATATTGAAAAAAAAAGAAAAAGTATTTAATCTAACATTAAAGAAGCGTTTTTTTTCCGTGAATTTTTGTAAATATTACATTTTTATGTCATAAGTAATCCTGTGTAGTGATTTTTCTCAAGTTTTTTGGCTTTGATTTTATGTTTTCTCATCATTGGGTATTTAAAAATTTTATTCTATTAAATACCCATTGCTGAAAGAAAGGCTTTCTTCATTAATTCCTACATTGTGTTTCTTAAGAAAAATATAGTAAATTTTTTTTACAATATTTTTACATTTACATTTTAAAATCCAATCTTTTCTTCGAGCGTCCTTTGGAAAAGTATGAAATGAAATTTTTTTGCACATCTTTTTTGTGTCAATTAGATTATTGTTGCAAGATGCAAATCTGGTAGTTTTATTGACCTTGGTCTAGATCCTTCAAAAGTCAATATCAAAAGATTCGGTTACCAATCAAACACCTGTTGATAATTAACCTTCTCATTCTTTATCAAAATCGTCCAAGTTTAGATGGTATGAGCTCGAAATCCTTTCTTTAAATATTTGCCATACTTTTAAACCTTTCATAATGGGAAACAAATCCTGAAATTCAATTAATTTAACCTAGGAAAAAGCAGACTTGAAGAATCTTGGAAACGTGCAAGATACCAATAAAACTTTTGTATGTATAATAAATTAAAATTATGATATATCTTGTTAAAATTGATAAAAATAATTTGTTTTGAAAAACTTCTTTATTTTTTCAACCAAAAACCAATCAGAAATCGATATTTTGTGATCAGATACATTCAGTACATAAATTAAATCCAACATATTTATTATTTTAAATGGGAGTTAGTAAAAAGAGAAGATAATAAAAAGTTATCAATAAATTTTGTGTAAAGTGATTTGTTACAAAAATAATTAAAAAAACTTAATTTTTTTTTAAATTATATCTATTTTGGTTTGTCCTGACATTTTTTTATAATGGATGTATCCAGTTTTGAAAACAAACGCCTCAGATGATAACCTAACTTGCTACCAGTGCCCAACATAAAATATTAAGAGCCTAGTTTTAGATGAAAATAAAGGGTAGATTGTTAGTTTTTATCATTGTTAAGAAAGTTAAATAGTTAAATTAAACCCTGAAAGATGAACCAAAGTTCTTTGTCAAAAATTTGATTAGTATTTTAAAATAAAAATATAATTACACATATATATGTCAAAATAAACATTTATATCACCTACTTAGTAACATTATACATAAAGAAGCATAAGGGTAGGCTATATCAGTTTAAGAACTATATAAATATACTAAAAGGAGATGGAACATCAAAACTATATCTTATTTTTCAGTTTCATTAAAAAAAAAAAAAAAAAAAGATTTTAAGTACATATATATATTTGACTCTTTATTTATGGCTCTGATAAATTTCACAAAACAAAATGTATTTTACAATACAAGATTAAATTTTAAAAAAACTTTATTAGTTATACATCCTCTATATTACGATAATAAATACTTTATTTTGTACAAAAAAACAATTTATCTATGAAATATCATTTTTATTTTTCTAAAAAAATAATTGTAAACAGAAGAGCTTCATCAATAAGATCATATTTTCACTCATTTTTGTTGTTATAAAAACATTTGAAAACTTGTATAATTCATTCTTACAAAAAGAACTAGTAAAGAATTTTAAAATCAATTGAACTACTGAATGTATATACAAAACTTTATAGTAACTTCTTTAAGTTACAATTATTTTAATTATAACTTGTTTTATATGTGATATAAACACAGAAAGTAATGAGCTAAGGACTGATATAAAATAATTTGACAGGACAATAAAACAGATTGACATCAGAACAAACTATATATTGATTGATTGATACAAATCAATCAATGATACATCATCGATAGAGTAAAATATCAACAGAAATTTTGCTAATGTACAATAAAAGTAAGTGTGTAAAATTTCAAAAATCACTGCCTAAATCAGTAGTTAGCAAGCCAAAAGAATCAAACATCAACATTGTAATGATTAAAATTTGCTTTGAGAGTCAATTATTTTTTTATTCAAACTGTATAGATATGGGTGTTGAGTAGGGTATTCTTAAATAAGCTTCTAATAAAAATATCCTCAATCTTATTGGGCTGTGTTCTCACAGGATGACTGCTTTCAACTCTCTATCTATGCTCATCTTTTATACTTATATCATCTATTTCCTTTCGCTATTCCTTGAAATGAAGAACTATAAATGTTTTCTCGAAATTTATTGTCTGAATACAGAAGGCTCAACAAGGTTCAATGACATTTTAGCATTCAATGGGATGGAAAAGAAGGCATTAATAGTGTATTCCATGATTAGGTTTGAAACGAACGATCAGGATCAGAACTTCAAGATACAGGCAGAGAAAGAAGAAGAGAGAAATACTTTATTGAAAGAAATTCTGCCCTACTACATAGGGTTGCTTTACACACGGCATACTGATCAATCCTAATTTATACATTACATTATTCTACTACCACACACATATATATATATATATATATATATATATATATATATATATAGATATATATTATAATACTGCTCTTATAAAATATAAACTAATAACTACACTGAGCCTAATAAAATACACTAAGCCATCAAAATTGTATAACATACACATTTAAAAAAAAAAAAAAAAAAAATCTGAATGCTAAGAATCCAACACTAAATCGCACACACATATATCCACAACTGTAGACAAAAAAACAAGACAATGCTAAAAATTAAAAAAATAAATGATAAAATGCATTCTCAATTCATGGTAAATTACTATACAAGTAATAGTGAATGATTCCGAGGAAGTCCAGGATAATATTCTTGGGCAATATTGCAAGCTCCCCAACATCAACACCTAGTTCCTCAATGAAGCTCCTTGTCCTTTTTAGAATCGTTCCGTAAGACCCAAACCAGAGGCCTCTCATGGTGAACTCTCTCTCTCTCCGAAGGAAGGTAGGATCCAAGATCAGCTCTGTCCCTCCTGTCTTGTTAAATTCATGCCTTACTTGAAGGAAAAGTATAGGTATCGACAAGAGAGAATTCTCAGTTAAAGGACTCTGGTTCGGAAGAATGGCAAGCATCCCTCTTATTACAAGTGATTTATTCTAGAGGCTCAGTGTTGGAAGGGAGCAGATGCTATAGCAGAAACTATTATTTTGGACTCGTTAGGAATCCTCCATCTCCACATATATTGATCATGGCCTACACTTATTTGATTCTGAAAATCTATCTTAGCATATTTGTCATGAAATCCAACGGTCCGACTTAACTCTTTTTAATTAAAAAAAAAAAAATATTATCTGTTGATTGATGAGTATGCTGTGTGATTTAGCAGCTCAACCCAGTTGAGCAGCCATGCATTATTATTTCAGTGCAATATATTCTATATATCAATACCATCTCAACATGCCCTTTTTAAAAGAATAGCTATAGTTTTTGTTTCCATATTTTGTTCGCAACTTACATCGTTTCTGTTTGTTTTGTATTCCATTTGTTGTATCACACCTCGTAATGAAAATAACAGATTAGTTCCTTCAAGAATTCCATTATATATTTAACATTTTTTGAATAAAGAAAATTGTATTTATCATTTTGAGTATTTATATCTACTGTTCGATGGAAAATGATCATTTTAAATAATCTATTGAAAATAAGGTGAACAAATAATTATTTACTGATATATAATAGTAGCAAAATACATTTTGAAACAACCATTTGTACAGAGACGTTAATAAATTGAAAAATAATCTATATTTCAAATTCGAATAATGTCAAAACAGTTATTTTTACTTACCATTGAATGAAAAAAAGACCCAAAGCGAAAAGGAACATGATTTTATTTTATGACTCATTTTGTTCAGTTGTTTCATGGACAATGTCTTGTTTTTTTAACAGTTTATAATTACTGTTATTTCTTATTACAAGAAATAAAAGAGGTGTGAGCGAAAGCACTCTTCGAAAGAGCCACACCCAAAGAGACAAAGACTAATAGCGAGCAATAATTTGCTGATGACTACCCTAAATGAACTATAAAACCTGAATAAGAGCATTAAATATTTAAAAATTAATTTTTTGGTGATTAAAATAACTAGTCATGATAAGAAATAGAAATAATCGTTTTCGTATCATCAATAACTGTTTATATTACTTGAATGAATTAAACTCACTACAACATGCATTTTATGGATAATACAAACATAAGTATATTTTATGATAATATTTATATAAAATTATCTGAATTTATACCGTTAATTTAGGTTGAAAAAACTTCATGATGTCTGTA